ATTTATAGAAACAAAAAACCTTCGCCTTTGGTCGTTATCCAAAAGTCATAATGGAGATTGCCTGTGATAATAGCACCCAAAAGCGTTGGGGATATCCCATCTATCAGAAAAATAATCCAAAATAAAAAAGCAGATGAGAAACCAGTCAGCAGTCGTGGAAAATTCATTAAGGGTACAGAGTTGAGTACTTACACCTACAACGTCTCAACTCTTACTGCCTTTCACTGTCTACAGCCAGTTGTGGGAAGGCAGTTACCCTTAAAAAGATGCAATAAAGTTAAAAGTAGAAATAAGATAAATTCAAGCTACCCCCCCCCCCTAAAAAAATATATTTCTACTAAATATTCAATGAGGGAAAACCCTTTTTTGTCACTAGAGGTAGTTAGCTACCTTTAATAAATATATATATATAAGTTAAATTTATTCACTACAGCCGGGATTGGAAAGACTAACTTCAAGTAGCTATTTTGTGCTATACGTGAATAATGTGACAGTATGAACTATTTAAGGTAGGTCTTGTAGTTTTTTTTTAAGATTTATTTTTAATAAATCATTTTTAGAAATGGGTGGAGGTTGGGAGTAACATGTAGTAGAATTATTAGGGTGGTATTTATTCTACTTTAAGGATTTTTTAGAACTTTTAAGGGTGTAGGATGATATTGGTAGGCATTGTTTCGTAGAAATATATTTTTGGGGGTGGCTTGATTTTATCTTATTTCTACTTTTAACATTATTACATCTTTTTAAGGGTAACTGCATTCCCACAGTTGGCTGCAGACAGTAAAAGGCAGTAAGAGTTGAGATGTTGTGGGTGTAAATACTCAACTCTGTATCCTTAATGAATTTTCCACGACTGCTTACTGGTTTCTAATGTGCTTTTTTGGATTTTATCTAATAGATGGGATATCCCCAACGCTTTTGGGTGCTATTACCACAGGCAATCTCCGTTATGACCTTTGGATAACGACTGGAAAGTGCGAATGTTTTTTATGTTTCTTAAAATAGAGTTTTGAATTTATATTAAGTTCATTTTTATTTTATAGTGCTAATTTTTATCGCCTATTGACAATTAATGTAATTGATATTATAGTCTTTAAGCTATACTTCTTATATACATATATATTTGTATGAACATAATTTTAATATTTATTATATGTATATATTTTCTATACTCTGATTACTGAAGAAGCAGACAAGTAAACTGTATAAATTAATTGAGAAATAGTACCATTATTAATTGCTGCTAAAAAACCAGGACATCAAAAGCGAGGTTGCACTAACTTGAGACAAATCTATATTTACAATAATAGAACCATAAAGTTTAACAACTAGTACTCTCTTAGTTATATGTATATATGCATATGTTTCTCTAGGTATTCCAAAAATGATCGAAATAAATCGCAAATTACTTGGAAATTCAAGCGTTATTGAAATACTTTTAACTTAAGACATTGTAAAAGTTTTGAACTTAAGTATTCAAAGTTAACATTACATAATCAATATATCAATTGTGAAAGTTTTTGACCTCTTTGACAGCCAAGGCAAAGAATGGTATGATCTCAGAACCAAAGTCCAAACGCAACTGCTTCGTCCAAAATCTATACAGTCTTATCTTAGCCAAATGGATCAAGTAGCTAATGACATGATAACAAGAATGATTCATTTGATGGATAACACAGGAGAAGTTCCAGATTTTCTAAATGAACTTTACAAGTGGGCGTTGGAATGTAAGTTATTGTTTAGTTCATTCGTTTGAGAAATATATAAGTATTAAAATATAAAATGAAATTATGTAGCTTTGTTGTTAATTTTTAAAACAAAAATCAAAATTGCTTGTACGAAGCTTTGATTTGTCGTTGTTTTTATTACAGCTGTGGCTCTTGTTGCTCTTGACGCCAGACTAGGCTGTGTAGATTTAAAACAAGCTCCGAATTCTCAAAGCCAGAGGTTGATTGTAGCAGTAAATGACATTGTAAAGGGAATAAATGATCTTGAATTTATGCCTTTAGCTTTGTGGAAATTCTTTCCTACTCGTAGCTGGAAGCGGTTTGTAAATGCCCAGGATGTATTTACAGAGTAAGTGAATAACCTATTTTTATGAAAACTTAATATACCTTTGCTTTCGTTATACAACATGCAAATCACAGATAAAACGAATTCATTTCTTGTGTATGGATCTAAAACACTCTTGTCAGACTAGTTAGTTAACTCTATATTCATTATGGTCGTTAGAGACACTTATCTGATATGTGTTTAGACTTGTTCGCTGCAGTCCTTCTAAAGTTTGAGCGACCAGCTTTCTCGTTGTTACAGTCTACTAATATTAACGTGAGGTGTAGATTACTCGAATAAGACATATAAAACACTCTTATTATCGATATAACAAACTATCTCCAGCATCAGTTTGCTATTCTAGTATTTCCTACGTTTATTTTAAGTAACAATCAGTTTGTATATATATTGTTGCGCCATCGAGGTCACGTGACTGGTGTGGCGCCCTCTAGTTTCTAGAACTATCTTGTTCTTTAATAATGGCTGGAGACGGCTTAAATGGGTAATGAAGAAAAACTTTAATACAAGTTTAACATGACAGCA